AAACAAATGAAGCTTGGCAAGGCTCCGGGTCTGGACAATATACCTATTGATGTTTGGAGGCTACCTAAACTGAAGAAATATCTCACAAGGTTCTGCCATGCAACCCTTGAAGGTAACCGCCCTCCAGAATGGGGCTTGTCCGGCATCGTCCCAGTTCCAAAGAAAGGGGACCTCACCATCCCAGACAACTACCGGGGAATCAGCCTCTCTCAAACTGCTGCCAAGGTATACAATCGACTTATTCTGAATCGCATTCGTCCGGAAGTTGAGAAGATACTCCGTCCCAATCCAAGTTGCTTTTGGCCTCTACGTTCAACCTCATCTCAAATCCTTGCCCTCGGGCGCCTTATTGAGGAAATTCGTATTCACCAGAAGGAAGCTGCCATCATTTTCATCGATTTCCGTTAGCATTTGACTCTGTTGACAGACCAACAATGTTTAAGATCCTGCATGCTTACGGTATCCCGGAGGAGACCATTAATGCCATCAAAATTATGTATGAAGATACAAGTGCTGTTGTTCTCACTCCCGAAGGTGAATCGGATTCGTTCTCCGTCAACACTGGAGTTCTTCAATGTGATCATATCGCCCCCTACCTATTCATCATAGTTCTGGATTATGCCCTGCGGACAGCATTAAATGTAACCGATGGTCTCACCCTCTCACGCCGTAGGAGTAGTAGACACCCTGCCCAATACCTATCCGACCTAGATTATGCAGATGACATTAGTCTGCTTGCTGACACCCTCCTTGATGCCGAATCTCTCCTCCATAAAGTAGAAGCTTGCTGCAAGTCCATTGGTCTCTCTCTTAACGTAAAGAAGACTAAGTACATGGTCATCAACCCATCTACCCCCGATGACGTCACTGCACTAGATGGCAGTAAGCTTGATAAAGGTGATGACTTCAAGTATCTTGGCTCCTACACAAACAAAGCTCATGACATCGAGTGTAGAAAAGCTCAAGCTTGGTCTGCTCTGTTCTCACTGACCAAAGTGTGGGGATCCTCGATCTCCAAGACCACCAAACTTAAGATCTTCAAGACCTCAGTAGAATTCATCCTCTTCTACGGTTGCAAGTCCTGGACCCTGACCAAACAGATCTCTGCGTCCATTTGATGGCACCTATACACGGATATTGCGGGCTGTTCAGAACGTTTCTTGGCAACAACATCTTCCTAACTCTGTTCTGTATGGTGTCCTTCCCCCTATCTCCACCACCATCAGACAGCGTCGCCTTCGGCTATCCGGTCACGTTTTTCGACATAATGAGCCAGCTAGTCAAGTTCTCCTCTGGAATCCTGAAGCCCCTCGACGAAAAGGTCGTCCCAACATGACCCTGAACACATCCATCGAGCTAGAAACTGGTCTGAGTGGTCCATCTCTTTCCAACACTATGTTCGACAGGGACAGTTGGGCCCAACTCATCAAGTCAGCATGAAAATGAATGAATGAAGAAGAATTAAGAAGGATATACCATAAGCCTGAAGACACGATGGACGTACGGTTATTAATAGTAGGGCAGATAAGGGAAATATTTGGCTGGATTGTTCACTATGATGGTAAAGCATGGCATTTGGCACACAGTCAGAGTATGTCATGAGAAAGATATTTGGCTATGAGGGCCATTGCAGATTTGTTCTTTAAAAAAAATATATTATAGGTAGGATGACAAGCAATTTTTTTTTCTTTCTTTTTTTCAAAATGACTGCCATTGCTTGTTATTCTACTTATATGTTTACAAAGGACAATCTGTGGTGGCCCTATAGCCAAATATCTTTCCCATGACATACTCTGACTTGTGCCGAATTCCATGCTTTTAACATCAACTGAACAATCCCATCACATATCTGCTATTCTACAACCTCGTTTGTTGGATTAATAGATTTGACTACACCACATAATGGACTGACGATATCACATAATAGATTGACAACATCACATAATGGATTAATTGACGATATCACATAATAGATTGACTACACCACATAATGGACTGACGATATCACATAATAGATTGACTACACCACATAATGGATTCAATTTGATGATATCACATAATTGACAATATCACATAACAGATTGACGAAATTACATAATGGATTGACAACATCACATAATAGATTAATTGACAGCATCATCAAACAACGTTTATTCGGTACCATCATAAATTGGTACGTTTGGCGTTCCATATCCCAGGGAAGGAATTGAACCACTAGTGATGCCCGCGAGGCTGAAGGGTGCAGGCCAGTAAATCGGTCCGAAATTGCCTACGCCGGCCAAATCACGATTTGCATGCTCTTATTTTGGGCCATGATCTTGAGGGTTTGTAGAAAATAAGGGTGGAAGCCGTGCACGGCACCGTGAGCTTGTTTTTCTGTGCAATTTGGAAATTGGGGCCCTAATTTAAGCGCTCTATTTTGCAATTGAGTGTAGGCACCGTTTTTCAAAATGGCGATGGGCTTGCGGACTATTTTAAGGTATGATCATCTTCGGATGGAAATTTCTCCTAAAAGTCATCAGATTACCCCCAAAAAATTGAAAAGAAAATGAAAGATGATTTGATGTACATCTTGGACACCTTGGAGATAATTGTGAGTCCTTATTTTTATTTCTGAAGTGGGGGCATTTATCATGTACTTTGTCAACTGGCTGTGGGCCTCAATACTGATTTTAGGGGTGATCACGTTAGGAGGGTAAAAAATCAACCAAACAAAAGTCATTGGTTAAGCTTAAGTCTAAACAAAAATTGAACAGAAAGTGACAGAAGATAAACACAAGTTTCATTTGACATAATATCCTTATTTGTTTGGAAGTGGGTGATATATCTGTTACGGTGCGCGGCCTAGGGGATGGTCTGCACCCCGCCAAACGCGCCTGTCGTCATGCGCAATCTGAGGTCATTTTTCTAGCATAAACGAGTGCTGACCATGTCCTGACCACTGGCGTTCACTTGCCGTAGCTCAATGGGCATGCATATAATTGCCCTACATTCAGCGGGGGTTGCATACGTGTGTGAAGAGTTGCATTGAATATTCCCTGAAGAATAACATTCAAATTGGGATATTCTTCTAGGATATCTGTACGTAATATGTATTCCTTGCAAATATGGGGTGAATCACCGGCGTGAGAATATACGAAGATTAATCTTATTCCACTGCCATTATTGTGATTTCATATTTTTGTTGTCAGCTTGCAGGTCTATGGGTCCCATTGCCTATTTGTTTTTTTTCTGTTGCCAGTTAATCCGTTTTTGTTTGATTATAACTTATGTTCAACTGTTACTGATATTTGTTTGCTCTTACTCTTGCCAGTTGAAAATTCTCCAGTTTGTATTAGTTTGTTTCAGATTTTTATTTTGTTGTTGTTGTTGTCGTTGTTGTTGTTGTTGTTTTGTTTTGTTTTGTTTTGTTTTGTTGTTGTTGTTGTTTTGTTGGGGTGTTTGTTTGTTTGTTTGTTTACTTGTTTATTGGGTTGTTTGGGTGTTTGTCTGTTTGGTGTCTATTTGTTTGTCTGTCTGACTGCCTACCTGTCTGCAGGGGTGTTTGTTTGTTGTGTCTCCTATTCTGTTCTGTTTGTTGTTTGTTTGTTTGTTTGTTTAGGTTAATTTTGATTTTGTGCAGTTGTTTTTATTTTTTGTTGTATACAGAGATTTTTTATATTCATATTATAAAAAATAATGTGTCCCATTTTAAGATTGGATTAGTAGGCTTCCGAGTCACAGTGTTTAAGTACACTTTATTGATCATGGTCATCTTCAATTGGGTTTGTGTTGTTCATGTTTTTTATCTTTTAATACGTGTTCCTCTAGTTTTTTTCTGTAAAGGTTCATTGTCATATTCTCTGTATTGTTTTTTGTTATATTATAAATAATAATAATGTAAGTTATACAAGAAACGTGAAGATTCTTTGAAAAGTATCGTTTATGCATAACATGCATGACTTAATGTATTACCATGGACAAAAATACCTTCTTCATGATGACATTAACAACATTTTAAAATATAAAAAGTACACTAACAGACACAATCTGCAAAATGCTCTTTCAAGTGAGGCTCAGATGTTTGACTCATTTTAGATTATGACAAGTCATCAGGTCGACTCTAGTCGGACTGCAACAAAGGCACGCCATACATTATGCTCTCCCATGGATCAAGAGGCCGTGCTGATCTCGCCTGCGGTGGCTAGACCAGACTCGCCCAGCCCCGACGCAGCTGCAGTCCACGCACGTAGGTTAACGTCTGCCCACCTCGCATGGGCGTCGCCAGGATTTTTTTTCCAGCGGGGAAGCAAAGCAAATTTTCCTTCGCAATTCCATACCTTTCTCAAGATATTCTCAATATCATTTTTTCGAGCGTGAGCAGGGAAGCATTTGCCCTAACACCCCCCCCCATCACATTAACAGCAATATGGCTTCGCACCTCTTTTTCCTTTTTTTATTTTTGTTTTCTTTTTCCTTTTTTTTCTCGTTTTCCGCGGGGGGGGGGGGGGGGCAAGTGCCCCCCTTGTCCCCCCCCCTCACGACGCCAATGCCACCTCGAGCGCTACTCCTCATTATGGAGTAAAGAACAATCATATTTAGTTGTGCGACCTTGAGCGGAATCACATTAATGGAACACACAAACGTCCCGTGTTTTTGGTTCGCATTCTGTTCCACTTCTTGTCATAAGTTTGTTTAATCTAAATCTATAAGACAACAGTTACAAACAATGTTTGTTCAAGAAAGGTTCCCGCGGCAGACATTGACTTTGACGAAAAAGCTGGTTGTCGTAACAAAACAAAAAAAAATAGTCAAGGGAACAGCTACACGCCTCATTATGATTAATATTTCACTATGGGTAAAACAAAATGTTTATAATAGAGGGAGTGAGAGAGAGAAATGTACGTCTGTCATTTTTATAAATACATTTATAATGATAACAAATGTCTAAAACTTCAATTTGTTTTGTTATAATTGCTTGCTAAAGATGTATGACGTCTTGCCCTTTAAATGTAGGCATCTTGTGCAAGTAACCCGCACCATTATTATAATCATGACCACGAGGATATGCCATCTTGCGTGTTCTCGTGCGCATGCGTCGAAGCTCCACACCCAGTTTTTTTTGCAAGCGCTAGCGCAAGCCGTGTTCTTTCTCTACGGGCCTCGCCTCTCTCAAGCATTCTTGCGGCAAACGTCCTACGAGTACATTTTAGTATTTGTGCCCTTTCTGGCAATTTCAGCCTTCAATCGTCCCTCCGTCGACCGAACAGCAGGACAGGTCAGTATATGGACAAGCTTATATTTCTAAACTCTGAAGTTATTGATGGTATTTTTGGCGAGTTTGTTGTTTTGTCTAAAGTGACTGACGGTGGTGCATGATCAAAAATGATCAAGTATATATGTACATGTACATGTGTATGACAAACAGTGCCGTAGCGCGTGGGTGTATAATGGACAAGGTCATAACTTTGTCATCATTGTCATAGGGAGCTTCTGCCTTTAAATGTGTTTTAGTTTCAGTACTTGAGCAAGAAGGAAATAGCGAGCTCCCAAGTGTTCACATGAGCTCGGTTTTAATTGTTTATGTGGTTCACGTTTAGTGTTTCTGTTGTGAAAAAAAAACATCATTGAAGGCCAACGATGTGGTCTTCGTTACGTTTATCGGGTCTCCGTATTAAACCGTTGAGAAGACCTGATCGAGTGATCGTGTTTCACAAAATCCCTGGACTCCGAACAATATTTGTCTTCTTTGATTTCTGCAGCAAACACAACACAAGATGAATCACCTCGTTATCATCGTGATTGCTACTGTAGCATTCTGTAAGTATACAGCTTATTACCAATACTAGTCACTATACTGTCACTTCAGTCGAAGAAACCTGTTGTTGCCTAATTTTGATTTTGATCGCTTTCAGATATTTCATTTTTCTGTTACAGTCTCTTCAGAAATTAAACTATTATAACACAATATGAATGTCTTCTAAAACAAGGCTTAGTTACAACTTAAGTTACAAGCAAATAATTCACAAATAAACAAAGGCTTAGAAAGAAGTTGAGAGTTCGCAAGTACGATAAGCACTAGAATTGTTTCCATTTTAATACCTTCTCAATATACCTCATTTTAAGACGAATTATTCTACCTCCATGGTGTTAATAAAACTGTTTAAGGAAATTGTGAACCTAGACCAATAAAAATCCCGCCGCAAAGCTACTAGCTATATTATGCTTCAAAGAACAAAAACAGGGTTCCTTAGTGAGCGGTAAACCCGCTTGAAAGTACTGGGTAGATGTACAGTCATATTTCAAATTGTGGTCCATTTGTGGTTTATTTGAAGATGTGTTTTAGCTCAAATTCCACAACTATACTTCAAGAAAACTATCTATCGCTCATTATTGGCTGTTTCGGCACTTTTGCCGAAACAGCCTTTGTTTTCGTTAAGATTTTTTTTTTTATTTTTGGCTGTCTTGGCACTTTTGCCGAAACAGCCTTTGTTTTCGTTAAGATTATTTGTTTTTTCTTTTTCAGTAATTTTCGCCCATAGCATGTGAACACGTTTTTTTTGTTACGGGCACTTTGGGCACTAAAATCAATCCGATTGACTTTATACTTGGCACACACTTTGACCAGCATCTGAAGTTATTTGCCGTACATTGACATCATCGTGACGTCATCATGAGTTACGTGATGTCACATTATATGCGATTTTTCTGTTGTGACCATTTTCTAGCAGAATTCGTCTAGATCTGACAGATTGGGCTATATCTCCAGAACTAAAGGTCCGATTATGTTGAACGTTGGTATGGACCTAAACCGTAATGTGTTATAGATGAAAATTCAAGTGAAATTAGGATGATGTCATCAAGTGACATGTGACGTAATATCAAATGTGCATATTTTCAAGGTCAATATCTACAGAACTACAGGTCTGATTGGGTTGAAACTTGGTATGTACCTAGCCCGGGATGTGTAATAGATGAAAATTGAAGTGACGTCATGATGACGTCATCATGGGTTACGTGACATCTCGTAAAAAATTAATAGATTTAATCTTTAAAAATCAATATAAAATCCGTGAGAGACTTGAACATGATTTTTGCGGGAATGGATAGAATTATCGAGGGTCTTCATTTATATCAATATGTGCAAAATCACGTTACCCTTTCTTCTGGTTGAAACCGGAAGTGCCTTGTAATTTAAAATTGGTGAAAGATCTGAACTTGCTTTCAACGATGTTTGCTCTGGCAAAGTTCTTCTTTACAATAATATTATAGTAAGAGATGAAACTTTATGTGACGTCATCATGACGTCATTACGTCACATGTGACGTCATAATTCACAGCCCTATGAGAATAGAATCACATATTATATGCCACCATTTATTATAAACAGAACTACACATCCTTGGTTGATGAAACACATGTCACGTCACAAAAAGCTACCGAAACAGCCCTGTGTTTGTCCGCAAGCATAAGTCTGTTTTTTTGTTTTGTTTTGCTGTTTCGGCAACCAGCCGAAACAGCCTTTGTTTTCGTTAAGATTTTTTTGTTTTTTCCCCCAGTCATTTTGCCCATAGCATTTGTACACGTTTTTTTGTTACCGGCACTTTGGGCACTAAAATCAATTCGATTGACTTCATACCTGGCACACACTTAGACCAGCATCTGAAGTTTTGTTCCGAACATTGACGTCATCGTGACGTCATCAACTAATTTATTATAGAATTTTGAATATTTAATTTTTCCCATAGACTTTGTACACAGAAATTAAAAAAAATTGTCGATTTTCAAAGGGCATTTTTGACTCTTTGCCAGTAATTCATTTGCACCAATCTTTGTCCAAGCAAAGACCCTAGTTAAACAACATTGTGTAGTGATGACGTCATGATGACGTCATTAGTTAAATTGCAATTAAATTGTGACACTTATAATATTTAAAAATGCATAAGAAATCAACCGTACGCGTCCGCAGCATTCTGTTACCGGCAAGTGAGGTCTTTATTTCATTCAGTGGGCGTGAAATCACGCGACCCTTGCTTCCGGTCGAAAAAGGCCAACACCGGAAGTGGCTTATTATTTGAAAATGGTAATAGATATGAACTTGCTTCTTAGGGTGTTAGTCTTTTGGCTAAAAGTATTCTTCAAATCATCTACCAATGACGTCATGCAATCTTCGAGCGCCCTCTAGCGACATGTTGAAAATTAACAAAATGTATTTTGAATAGATGTCTGTAGCAAAGTTTGTCGGAATCGCCTAAATATTGGTGTAAATGATGACCTTGACCCACTTAAGACGTGTGCGAAGTTTTAGGCGAATGACGCCATCAGACCGGAAGTTATAATAAAAATACCCTTTTTCATTTGAAAATTCCTAAAAAAGTCAACCATGGCAGTTTTTATGTTAGTTGTTACGTTAATTGTCGAGTTAAGGGTAGGTCTAAACATTTCAAAGCGTCGAGGCAATAAGCGAACTCGGACATGCCCTGCGAACGCTTAAAACTTCAGGCTGATAATACATCTGCTCTAAAACATGCACAGAACATTTATATGTACATACACGTACGTTACGCACATACATGTACATCGTATGTCAGTCAGCCTGCAGAGCACGTGTTGCCGAGGTCAAATCCTGTCCACATCACAGTGACTGTTTTAGCCGAAAAGCCATACGTTACGTATTTAAAGGTGCCGTTTTTCTGCAGTGAGATTTTCCACAAGTCTTTTCCTATACAACAATGATATCTTACTGAGTAGTTCTGAACTTCAGCCGAGAATTACTATGAGAAGAAAAGAGCAATCGTGGTTTTTTTTCGCGCTGTCATTCGATTGAACATATTCCTAAGGGTCAGAATATCAAGTAATATTTCATAAAAATGTTTCAGTTCAAAGGCAAATTACAAATTTAAAGATGCAATTTTTCTGCAGTGGTTTTTTTTTTAGCCCGTTAACTTTGTACACGTGTTAGCCCATTGACTTTGTACACGTTTTCAAGCCACCATTTCTATAACTTGGCGATCTAGAATCGTCATCAATGTTACAGCCAAGGAAGACCCTTATACAAAAATTATGCCAAGACTATGACGTCATGATGACGTTATCACCTAACTTGTTTAATTGATTTTTGAAAATGTACGTGCATATTATGAAGTCCTATATCTACAGAACTGTAAGTCTGATTGGGTTGAAACTTGGTATGTGGCTAGACCTGGATGTGTTATAAGTACAAAAAATAGGTAACGCCATGATGACGTCATACGGAGATTTTATATGAATATTTGAACTTGTTGACCTTTTAGCCATATCTCATGAACGTAACATGCAAAATTAAAATTTCTTTGTGTATTTGGTCTGTTAGGTAAAAGGTATTTGCACAAAATTTTGAAAAAAAAAATAGCTGACATATGACACCAATTCAAAAATATTGTTAATTCTTTTTTCAAACACTTTTCACATGTCAATAAATCTCATGAACAGAAATGCTCAATTCAATTTTCTTAATTATATGAATCGGATTGAAGGTCAAAGCTATATGACAATTTCAAATGACGCAACGACTGCATGTAAGTTTGACTGCAAAAAATGAAGGAAAAAAAAAACAGAAAAAAAGGCTTAGAAATTGACCACAAGCGTGTGGCTGTTGGAGAAAATTAAACTTTTTTTCCAAATACGGTGGGTAATACTACCAAAACATCCCCTTCCAGGTGCATGCTTCAGACACATGTGATTGCATTGGTTTTAAATACTGATCTTTGGTATTTCGCCTTTTGTTGATCTCCGCCAATGCCATCTTAGATTGCTCTCAGTTTCCTTTATTTTGTAAACACCCCTATACGATTATAATTGAGCACATTAATACGAACTAAGCCCGCATCGCCGGCTTCGAGGGGTAATGAATAGAATAACTCACTACAAGGAAACTCTTTACAATTTATAACTGGGGAGAAACCTTGAATGAAGACCTGCTACAATTTGAGTTTTACGTAACATTAAATGGCCATTATTCTATTATATGGTCTGTCTGCAGCACAATACTATCCAATTTGGTTGTAGCTTGGTATGAACCTCAGCCGCCATGTCGTATACATACATCCAACTGACGTCATGATGACGTCTTGACATGACATATCACTCACATTAAAGCTGCATTTTTTACAGCCTATATATTTACATTTGCATTTTCTTTTTACTACACCTGCATTACCTATCAGTGTGTAACATAATGCCGGAACAGCCCTATGTTTGTCCACAAACATATGTCTAGTTTTGATGTTGATCGCTTTCAGATATTTCATTTTTCTGTTACAGTCTCTTCAGAAATTAAACTATTATAACACAATATGAATGTCTTCTAAAACAAGGCTTAGTTACAACTTAAGTTACAAGCAAATAATTCACAAATAAACAAAGGCTTAGAAAGAAGTTGAGAGTTCGCAAGTACGATAAGCACTAGAATTGTTTTCATTTTAATACCTTCTCAGTATACCCCATTTTAAGACAAATTATTCTACCTCCATGGTGTTAATAAAACTGTTTAAGGAAATTGTGAACCTAGACCAATAAAAATCCTGCCGCAAAGCTACAAGCTATTATGCTTCATAAAACAAAAACAAGGTTCCTTAGTGAGCGGTATACCCGCTTAAAAGTACTGGGTACATGTACAGTCATAGTTCAGATTGTGGTCCATTTGTGGTTTATTTGAAGATGTGTTTTAGCTCAAATTGCACAACTATACTTCAAGAAAACTATCTGTCACTCATTATTCACTCTTATTCTCGTGTACGTAAAGTAATTTCCATAAACAAGAAATAATGGTCTTGTCCCAC